AAAAAAACATCATTAAATACCCCATTGAACTGTAAACTGCTGCTAGGAGCAGCATGTGCTTAGTAATGGAAATCAACTATGAAGTCCACGCTGAGCATACCTGTAAAACCCATGGTCCATGTATGGGAAAACATACTGATGGGCACATACCATAGGCACCAACTTTGTTTGGTTTTTTGCTGGTGGGTGCTTGGAGATCTTTTTTTTTTTTAAAAAGAAGGGAAAAAAATGTAAAGCAGTGCCAAGCCCTGCGCATGCCCAGAAGAGACAGTGTGTTACTTCAGTATGGCTCTGCAGCATCTGTAAAGATCTGGTGCTTTAGTGGGGCTTTTTATCTAATTGCTGATTTGAATTAGCTTTATCTAAAACCAGCACAAAGCTCCGCTGAAGCACCTGAACTACACACATGGCAGAGCCTGGTTGAAGTAACACACTACTGTTTCCAGTAAAGTGTGGGTTCTTAAAACATGTGCAGTCAACTCTGTGGGTGCACTAACTTTATTTCCCCGAGGCTTAAGCAGCCACTGAGCGTGCACAGAGTTGGCACCTACCACAAAGCTAGGGTAGCTCTATCTCAATAAGATACAGTGCCTATTGCGCTCAGTCCCCCTCAGCGCTGACTCCTTTTAAGCGCATGGTGAGCAGCTACAGTGAATACATTTAGATTCCCACATCTGAGCAGCACCTTCCTTTTTCCAGTTCCAATGATTCCTATTCCTTCACCATCCATAAATGTCTGTCAAACATCACCAAACTTATCTCTAGATGAGAGGCTCTGTTGCCCCTTCTCTCAGCCTGTCATATGAGATTAGTGTGGCCCTGCCTTCCATGCAGTGAAGCTGGACCAGGCAGCTCTGAAACTCATCTGCATATACATTGTTGGAGGATCCCAGGGCGCGTGACAAACACGCAGTTCCAGACATCAGTAGGGAGCTACTTATGTGTATGGATTGTTTGTGGGAGGCTATCTGGAGTGTGCACACGTACCTGAGCAGTGCTGAGGTGTGGGTCACCATGGTTTGAAACAGAGTCTGCTGGGGCCCAGCCCAGTGAACTGTGGTAAATCATAAGCCTTTTGCTTTTGAACTAATAGCATGCGTCATTTGTACTATGTAAAAGCATATATAAGTGCTGCTCAAAAGGTGTGTTTTAGGAAGTACCTGCATTTAAAACTTGCAACGGCTTGCAAAACAGGAATATTGCATCAATTCTGGATGAACTAAGTCTATGAGTACCCATAGTAATTTCCCTATATGCAAATTCCTACAGGTATGTTTATTTCAAAGTCACTGTCTTTAAATTTGCCTCTCATGTCCATATATTCAGGGAGAAAACAGAGCCCCCCAAGCAGGGTCTGACAGTAAGGAGGAAGAAGTTAAGGGGGGCTACCTGACCCTTTCTTCTCCCCCTTCACCCCCCACCAAAGATTTTTCTGTTGCTATAGCAGTAGGAGGAGAACAAATTCAAGGCAAACCTCCAATAATTAGGTTCTATATCTGGAAATTATAATAAATTTTATACATTTTTCCACCTATAGAATCTAATTATTGAGGGGTCATTTTAAATTCAGGGTCAACTTAGATTTGAGTAAATACATTAAGTAAGGGAGACTTTTAAAGACGCGTCTTCCAGTACAGAACTATGTCCATATTTGCCGGCTGTTAACAGCCTCTTGTACTGATGGGGCCAGCTGCCTGTCCACCTGATCACTGAACCTAAAGTAGCATCAATGTGCATGTTTCTTCCTTTGCCTACATCTATCTGCCTGATGTTCCCCCTTCCCAATTCTTTGTTCCAGCTGTTGGGCATGCTGCTATCCATCTCACTCTGCAAGAATATACACAATGAAGACTACACCAAAGTGCCAAAGTCCTGAGTCTGTTGACCCCAGCGCTGCCACACCATAGAGCGGAGCAAATGAAACATTCCTGCCTTGTACCCAGGCTGTTCAGTCAACATTGAATATTACTCCTGTGACATCACACACTGCTAACACCACACTGCTAAGCAACTATTGGAGCTGCAACATGATCTGAATCTTCCTGTGACACCTGCAGGCCCTGGGCTACCCTTTCCTGTGTTTTTGATGCTCTGAGGCAGGCCACTTATCAGGGCATCGCATGATGCAAGTTCAGCCTGAGGGAGAGGGTGGGGGGTGGGTGGGGTGGGAAGGATTTGCTGCCTGGCCTATGTTTATGCAACCCTTTCCCAATCTCCATTCTCTGCTAGCCTATTTGGTATAACACAGCATAGAAGATTCTTCCTCCTCCCCCACTAGATCTAAGACCCCCCCCAGTAAATCCTCAGGAAGCTTCAGAGCTTGGCTTGCTGGTAGTGATGCCTCGGAGTGACCACACAACTCCGCTTTTTTTTCTCTCACACCAACCATTGCCCTTGGTTAGTTCTCCCTTTTTTTGAGGGGGGAGGTAAACCAAATACTGCCTTTCACACACATGCACTCTTTCTCTTCCTCATTTGACCAGTGGATAGATATCTCTAGAAAGAGTCGAGCCTGGCCATTCCAAGTGTGGCCCCCTCAGCTTGTGACACAGCTGCTGAGCTGCTCTTGGAACAGGTGCATGTGGGTTTTGGACTTCATTAGCTGCATGTCCCTCTCATCAGCTGCCCCTTTACTGGCTCTGAGGCACTTTAGAGACTTGTATAGTATGGGCTCAGCCCAGGCTGGCTTTGCTGGTTGTATTCTTGGGCTGCCAACTTTTATAGAAGTGATTTTTATGTATTTGCTGACTTTTATAGATCTGTGATTTGTTAACTCTCACTTTTAATCATGTTAAAATGGAAGTATCTGTTGGATTACTGGCTCTGTACCAAGGGTAGGGTGGTGGGGGGGCACCACTCCCATTGGTGTCTTGATTTATGGACCCTTTTCTGGACTCGCTGATCAAGAGCCCCTTTCCTACCTGTATCTGGCCTGCTGGTTAAGTGGCATAAGGTATGGAATCCTTGATGCTGGTGCCTGGATCATACGTGTCCTGTAAAAGATAGTGGTTTCAGCAGGTATGCCAATAGCAGTCTCTGCGTTGGTACAGGGAAACCCTATTCTGTACCAGACAGCAGGATCATGGCCTTGATTCTGACTGACCAGCAGCACTTACAAGAACTGACAAGTTGGTGGTCTAGATAAAAGATTCCCTCTTCCTTCCTTCCTTTTAGAAGCTGTGTTGGAATCAACAGTCACACAGTAGCATAAAAGGCTTGGAAATGGGTGACTTCCTGCAGCGGTGCATGGAAGTCATTGTCTTAAAGGAGGTAAAAAGACCTTTTATTTAGACTCTAGCCCTGGAGGGGAAAGAGACTATCTTAATTCTGGATACAGGGTGCCTGATAGGCAAGTATACCTTCTTAATGTGTACCATGGTTCCAGGGATGGTAGGGACCCCTTGTGCAATGTCTTGGGAATAGTCTGTATATGCCAGGTGCTAGCTGCTTGTTTTTTTGTGTTTTTTTTTTTTTTTTTCCCTTCTAGCAAGGGAGAAGTTGGAAGTTTTCCCCCACTCCACTCTCCCAAGGATGGGGGGCTTGGCAGCAAAGCTAAAAACTGAAAGAGCCATATTAGCTAGGCTCCCTCTTCACCAAGGATATAATCCTTCCAGGGGCAATTATGCACAGGTAGGCAGTTGGCATGGGGAAGGTTGCGCTTTCTTTGCTTAGACTCTGTTGTGATCTCCCTCCTCTGAACAGATCTCCTCCAGCTGAACATTTTGCTTTTGGGGGGACGTGCCATTTCCTTTTCCTGATATTAGTAAAGTTAGCATTGACCCCTTATCTCTTGCACTAAGACTCGTTCCCTCCTGTGTTTTTATTTGTTCGGTTCTTGTTCTCTGTTTTTGATTTCCCAGTGCTGAGCAGAAAGAAAATGGAGCCCCCTGCTGGGTTTCTTCTTCTCTCCCTCTTCCTCTCCCCCCCCCCTCCCCCCAACTTTTTAAGGAAGCTCTTCCCACTGGAAGAAATGCATGTACAGATTTAAAAAATATATAGGGTGGGGTATTTCTATAATAAAGAGATTGGCTAAAAAAAAAAAAAAAAAGCCCAGTAGTTGTGTGCTTCACTTTTTTTTTCTGTCCTTCCTGTTCTGCATAAGACTATCTTCGATGGGAATGCACAGCCGTGATCAGTGCATCAAAAGGTGGGATGTTAAGAAACACCTACCAGTAGTGGTGGTAGCTGCCAAGTTGCTGTTGGAGGCTTACCTATGAGAGAAACGTGAGTTAGTGTTGTGGAGAATGGCCTCTGCTGCTTGGAACCTTGCACCTGCTTTTGGGTCATAGGAATTAAGTGATCAGCCTTTTTATGGGGGCATTTGAGTAAAAATGGTGTGGCAAGTCCTCTCTTCAAGGGAATTGTATGTTGGATTAATTTGAGATGCATGGCTAAAGAATTGGAGGCAGTAGGCTGGCTACCTGTTAGCCAAGGAAATGGTGCTTGTGTTGAGTTAACAGGATTCAAGAGGCTAATACTGCCTATCTAGAGAATTGTGTGCCTTTAGCAGGTGCCCTTAAGTCTCCTCATTATGCCCACAGCGAAGACTGTTCTGCTGCTAGTCTGGTGCTACCCTTCACGCTTAGAGTGACATCTTTAAAGTGACACTTAACTTCTCTCCACTCCAGGCAGTTACGTTTATAGGTTGCTTGGAGAGTCCTTATTTCTACAGCAAATCGGCTATTGAGAAATGACCAGGGTGATTATGCAAATCAATTCAGAGATCTCTAGGATTGAGAGACAATGTATGAGCTAGAAACTCTGATTTTTCTTCTCCACTGGCTCAGCTGTAGCATGCCGTTTGCTATGCATGCAAAACAGTTTGTCTTTGCTCCCCTACATACCTTTCTGTCTACTAATGAAGTCCCATCACCACCTATTGGGGAACAAGAATCATGGATGAGTACTATAGCCCATTCAAAGGGCTGGACAGACATAAACTTTGCTAATCCTCAGCACCTCTTTTAGTTAGTGACATTCTATTCCACTCAAAACTGAATTTAAAAAAGCTGAAATGTGAAATGCCCTGTCTAAGATCTCCCATCAGGTCAAAGCTGTAGCACAGGTTAGAGCCATAATAAACACCTCCAGGCCATATCATAGTTTTTCCCCTTCTAACCTGGCTAAACTTGTGCTTCAGACCTTAGTGGCGTACTTGCAAAGAGGCTGGGATCTCTAGCTTTTGGCTGCCAGGAGACTAGGAGTCTTGATTTCCCAACCTCAACTTTAACTCCTAATTAGTACAAGATGCACTATATTGCTCTTGAAACAGAATTATGCTATCTAATAGTGTTACTTCTGTTAGTGAGTCCCTCTTTTTGCCCATCAGGTGGATGCAGCTGGCCTCTGCTTTAGGTCCTTATCCTCTTTCTGTTAAATGCACTTCAAGCATTTAACCACTAGAGGGTAGTGCCTCTCCATAAAAAGTTTAGGATTATACAATAGGCCTGTGCAAATAGGGAAGTATTCGGTTTCAGATTTGGATTCAGCCAAATTGGAGGACAGTGATTTCTATTTGGATTGCTGTCCCAAATCAGTTCGGCCAAATCGGCTTCGGCACTGATTCAGATAGATTCAGCCATAGACTATAATAGGAAATTACTAAAATACTTTTAACTTTGTCGTTTTTGGCAGATTTGGATAAAACAGCGTGGACGGTAGCCCCTTCTGAGGGCACAAAGCCTGCAAAGTTTCAAGGAGATGTGTGCAGGTGTTTCTAGGAAACTGCACCTCAAGGTGCTGACAAGCAAAACACATGACATGTGTGACTTTGTGTATGTCTGTTAAGGCACAATGGGATGAAACCAGCAGGGATGGTAGCCTGTAGCAGGAGTTCTTCCCAGTGCTCAGGCAGAAGCAGCTCACAAAAGGGACAGAAAGGCTGCAGACAGAGGCTTATGTGCTGTCTATGTCCCACCCCCAGAGCACTGTGATTATAAGGGGACTTGGGGAGGTGGGGGGAAAGATCAGTCACTGGCCAGCTACAGATGTCAGTCTTCCCCCACCTGCTCCCCCTCCCTCTTCTCAGTTTCTGTTCCCCTGAAAGGCTGCCTTCCAACCTCCTAATCTTTTCTGAATAGATTTGGAGGCTCTGAATTGGAGCCAAATTTGGAGGGTTTTTTCTGTCTCCCAATTCAATTTGAATTCAGTGATTCAGCCTCCGAATCGAGTCGGCAACCAAAGCTTTGTTGCACCCCTGTTATACAGCCCTTATTGGTGCTGTATTATCCTTTGGTCTATATTTGAGAGAGGCTTTTTCCAGCAGTAGGAAGCTCCTGGCAACTTCTAAGAGCCAAGAATGTATTACAAAAATTAATGATTGCATTTTTTGCTCTGTGCACTGAAGTCAAGAAACCAACTTTTGTCTTATTTTTATGGCGGCACCCTACAAGCAGGTGTTGCTTATCTGCATGTTCCCTTCCACTATTGTGCTTTGCCCTGCCTTTTTCCCCTCTTCTGTCTCTAAAGGTGTAGAGGATCAGCCGTTGGTGCTGCCTCTATTCTGGAATGCTAAGGTTATATCAGACTAGAGAAAGAAATGTTCTCTTTCTACTTGTAGTAGTTGAGGAAATTGTCTACTTCCCTACTAGTAGTATTGATCGTTGGCAGTATATGAACACCACTCCTGCAGAAAAGCTTCCTGGAAAATGGAATTGATGAAGCTGTGGAACTCTGTAAAGGATGACTTTACCACTATCTTGATTGCTGCTGGAACCAAGGAAGCTTTGACTCCCTGACTAGGGACAGAAGTTGCACACAAACTGGCATATGTGATCAGAAACCAGTTTAAACCTGTAACAAAAGTTCAGTGCACATAAACCAGTTTCAAAATGGCTGAAATTGGTTTAAGATGAACCTGTGTATCAGACTTAACTGATTTTAGGTCAAACTGGCTTATGAAACTTCTGTCCCTTCCTGGTTCAAGTTAAATCACAGTCCCCCAGCATGCTTTTCAGCCCTGAGTTGGGCTGTGCTGTCTACTCCAGAGAGCGGGGCTGTTCCCACCCCCTGTGCTCCCTAGCTGGAGCAGTAAGAGCTGGTTCACTGGCTGACTCACTCCACCCCCGCCCCGACAAACCCTGACTGGGGTCTGGGATCAGGGAGGGGGGGGTCAAACTTGCCTTCCCCTGAGTACAGAGCTGCCCTGCCCTGCTGGTTTACTTGGTGTTGCTGTGAATGGACTACAAATCCCAGAGGTACCTGGAAGAGTAAGTGATGAGCAGCCCTGCAGAGTTCTACTGCTGTGACTGTGGACTGCAAGTCTCTTGGGGGCAACAGGAAGAGGAAAGGAGCTCACAGCCCATGTTGGCTATGTGCCAGAGAGCCATGCTTTAGTGCCCCCTGGCTTCTGACTTGAAGCATTGCAGGCATGTGGCTGCATTTCCTGAATCAAAAGTGAATGTCTTTTCATTTGCTTATTGGTTTAATCTTTGCAGCTTAGACTAACCTGCAAAGGCTGAATCAATTTAGCCTTGGGCTTTTTGACTCTCTGTACTTAGCCCTTTAAGAGCTGCTTGTCCAAAATTGGCTATTCCTATCCACAGAGTAAAACTCAAAAGGCTTTTGTGGTGTGACCTTGTCAGCATGGTATGGAAGGTACAATGGCTTTGTGCTCTGTAAGTCCTGGCTATGCATGGCATCTTGTATGGGCTGCTCAGCTGGCCTCTAGCAACAGCCCTCAAAGTAGCTCCCTGTGGATTGGCAGCCTCTCTATGTGGCAAAGCAGCTGGGTATGGGGTGTTTCTAAGCATGATCAGCTGCTGTGGTAAGTCCTATAAGTCTTGATATGAAGCCTTTGACCTGCTTTTAGGCCTTAGCAGTGTCACAACCCAGTGATTTTGGTGCCTCGGCACAGTGGAATTTTCCCACCACATGAGAGCCTCTTGCAAAAGTAAAGGTTTTCTGTTGCAGCAGAAGAACCTCGGTGCAAGAGACTTCCCGCTAATTTGCAGGATGCATTTCTTCTTTGCAGCACAGAAATGCACGGTGCAAAGAGTTCCCACTATTCGAATGCAAATCTGTGTCCTGCTATTGGCCAGTTCTAAATTATTCACGCGTGGCGGCTAGTAATTGGCTTGCTAGCCGTTTAAAATCTCGTGCGACATCCGCCCAAGTCGAAGAACTTTGAGCATGCTGCAGAGTGCCTCTAAAGAGATCTGACTTGCGGCTAGCTGATTGATAGACTGATCACCTATCGATCCTTCTTCCCATTGCCAAGCGCAACCCCAGACGTACCCTTTTCCCGCCGGCTCAATTTGCGGATGGATTAACTGGCTTGGGCCTCGCCAGCTGGAACAACTCACATAGTTGTTCAGACGACTGGACCATCTGCATTGCAACTACAAGCGGCGTAAGTAAACGTTTTTGCAACCATTAAACCTTGTCTGCCTCTCCATTCACTAGCCCGCCCTAACGAACGAGCAATTTCTAAATCACCTCGAGTCGGCTCTAGCCATCCGAGACAAGCAGAAGTGAATTTATGCAGTGTAAGTAAAGCTATTTTTATTTGCTAAGAGCAGAGCGATTTATGAAAACTTGTGCTTTCACTTTGTTGAAAATTATAGAATGTGCTTTATTGTGGAAGTCAATAAGTTAACTAATTCCAAAATCCATGAAAATCACAAATGACAAAACTATTACAAGGTATTGCTATGTAAGAAAAGTGTTGTTCTTTCTGTCTTGGTACCAAATAAGACCCTCCAGACACAATCAAGTCACAATTTTTTAGAAAAGATAATTTCAGCTCTCTTTGCAGATCCTGATTTTTTCATTCACATCCATTCCCTTACAAGGCAGAAGAAGCCTTAGAAATGAGATCAACCTACACCATATAAATATTAAACTGATGATAAACCATGACAAGTTGGGAGGAGCTAACCAGTGTGGTCCAGAGACTGCTTTCACCTTTCCCTCTTAGGTGGTACGAATATGTTCTCCGTTTTTTTCTGCTTAGGCATGCTTCTGTACTCCTACTACCTTGAGTGAATGTTGCCTGGCCCTTGGGCTGGCTTTCTAATAAAGAAGTGTCTTTCTTGGCCAGAAAGACAA